AAAAAAACCATATGATCATTTCATTAGATGCTGAAAAAGCATTTGACAAAATTCAACATCCATTTATGTTAAAAGTCTTGGAGAGATTAGGGATACAAGGGTCATACCTAAATATAATAAAAGCTATATACAGCAAGCCGACAGCTAACATCAAATTAAACGGAGAGAAACTCAAAGCCATCCCACTTAACTCAGGAACACGACAAGGCTGTCCACTCTCCCCATACCTCTTCAATATAGTGCTTGAAGTTCTAGCAATAGCAATAAGACAACATAATGGAATCAAGGGGATTCGAATTGGAAAGGAAGAAGTTAAACTTTCGTTATTTGCAGATGATATGATAGTGTACATAAGCGACCCCAAAAACTCCACCAAAGAACTCCTACAGCTGATAAACAGCTTTAGTAATGTGGCAGGATACAAGATCAACTCCAAAAAATCAGTCGCCCTCTTATACACAAAGGATATGGAAGCAGAGAGGGAAATCAGAGAAGCTTCACCATTCACAATAGCCAAAAACAGCATAAAATATCTTGGGGTACATCTAACCAAGGAAGTGAAAGATCTATTTGACAAGAACTTTAAGGCATTGAAGAAAGAAATTGAAGAGGATACCAAAAAATGGATGGACCTCCCTTGCTCTTGGATTGGTAGGATCAACATAGTAAAAATGGCAATTCTACCAAAGGCTATTTATAGATTCAATGCAATCCCCATCAAGATCCCATCAAAATTCTTCACAGATCTGGAGAGGACAATAATCAACTTTATATGGAAAAACAAAAAACCCAGGATAGCCAAAACAATCCTATACAATAAAGGATCTTCTGGAGGCATTACCATCCCTGACTTCAAACTCTATTACAGAGCTACAGTAATGAAAACAGTGTGGTACTGGCATAAAAACAGAGAAGTCGACCAATGGAATCGTATAGAAGACCCGGATTTTATCCCACAAACCTATGAACACCTGATTTTCGATAAAGGAGCTAAAAGTATAAAATGGAAGAAAGAAAGCATCTTCAACAAATGGTGCTGGCACAACTGGATGTCATCTTGTAGAAGAATGAAAATAGACCCTTATCTATCACCGTGCACAAAACTCAAGTCCAAATGGATTAAAGACCTCAATATCAGCCCGAACACACTGAACCTGATAGAAGAGAAAGTGGGAAGTACCCTACAGGAGCTGGGCACAGGAGATCGCTTCCTATGTATAACCCCAGAAGCACAGACATTAAGGGCAACATTGAATAATTGGGACCTACTTAAACTGAGAAGCTTCTGTAAAGCAAAGGACATAGTCAATAAGACACAAAGGCAACCTACTGATTGGGAGAAGATCTTCACCAACCCCACAACAGACAAAGGTCTGATCTCCAAAATATATAAGGAACTCAAGAAACTAGACTTTAAAATGCTAATTAACCCAATTAAAAAATGGGGCACTGAACTGAACAGAGAATTCTCAGCAGAGGAAGTTCAAATGGCCAAAAGACACTTAAAGTCGTGCTCAACTTCCTTAGCAATCAGGGAAATGCAAATCAAAACAACTTTGAGATATCATCTTACACCTGTCAGAATGGCTAAAGTCAAAAACACCAAGGATAACCTTTGCTGGAGAGGCTGTGGAGGAACGGGTACCCTCATCCATTGCTGGTGGGAATGCCATCTTGTGCAACCACTGTGGAAGTCAGTGTTTCGGTTTCTCAGGAAATTCGGGATCAACTTACCCCTGGACCCAGCAATACCACTCCTGGGAATATACCCAAGAGATGCTCTATCATATGACAAAAGCATTTGTTCAACTATGTTCATAGCTGTATTATTTGTAATAGCCAGAACCTGGAAACAACCTAGATGCCCTTCAATGGAAGAATGGATGAAGAAAGTATGGAATATATACACGCTAGAGTACTACGCTGCGGTAAAAAACAATGACTTCTCGAATTTTGCAGGCAAATGGATGGAAATAGAAAACACTATCCTGAGTGAGGTGTCCCAGACCCAAAAAGATGAACATGGGATGTACTCGCTCATAATTGGTTTCTAGCCATAAATTAGCGCCACGGAGTCTACAATAGGTGAACCTAAAGAAGCTAAGTAAGAAGGTGAACCCAAGGAAAAACATATAGTTATCCTCTTGGCTAAGGGAAGTAGACCCAATTGCCGGGGAGAAAATTAGGATCTTGGGGGTGGGGTGGGATGGGGGTAAGGGGAGATGGGGAGAGAAAAGGTAGAAGGGAAGGAGGGGGGATTTGGGGAATCAGGAGAATTGGGATAAAGGAAAGGTGGATAGGGGAGCACGGAACCACAATTCTTAGTTAAGGGAACCACTTTAGGGTGAGCAAGAGATTTGACCCTAGAGGGGCTCCCAAGTGCCCAACATGAGGTTCCCAGTTAGTTCCTTGGGTAGCTGAGGATTGGGAACCTGAAATGACCCTATCCGAGAGCAATACTGACGAATATCTTGCATATCATCATAGAACCTTCATCTGGTGATGGATGGAGACAGAGACAGACCCACACTGGAGCACTGGACTGAGCTCCCAAGGTCCCAATGAGGAGCAGAAGGAGGGAGAACATGAGCAAAGAAGTCGGGACCACGAGGCGTGCACCCACCCACTGAGACAGTGGAGCTGATCTACTGGGAGCTCACCAAGGCCAGCTGGACTGTGACCGAAAAAGCATGGGATAAAACCGGACTCTCTGAACATGGCGAACAATGAGGGCTGATGAGACGCCAAGGACAATGGCACGGGGTTTTGATCCTACTTAATGTGCTGGCTTTGTGGAAGCCTAGCCAGTTTGGATGTTCACCTTCCTAGATATGGACGGAGGGGGGAGGACCTAGGACTTACCACAGGGCAGGGAACCTGGACTGCTCTGTGGACTGGAGAGGGAGGGGGAGAGGAGTGGGGGGAGGGGTAGAAGGGTGGGAGGAGGGGGAGAAGGGTGGGAGGAGGGGGAGGGAAATGGGAGGCTGGGAGGAGGTGGAAACTTGTTTTTTGTTTATGTTTTTTTTTTCTTCTTTTCTTAATAAAAAAAAATTATTTAAAAAAAAAAAAAAAAAAAAAAAAAAAAAAAAAGAAATTTCTTCCATTAATGTTCTCTGAGGGTAAATCTCTACATCATTAACTTAGTTATTGATTGATGTGTGAGGGCACAACCCGCTATGGGTGATGTCATTCCTAGGCAGGTTATCCTGGGCTATCCAAGGAAAAGGTAACTAAGTAAATGATGGTGCGCAAGTCAGGAAGCATCTTTCCTGCATCATCTCTGCCTTTGTTCCCATGAATTAGAATAGTAATACAAATACATAATAGCAGTAAAGAAAAATCAATGAATCAAAAGATCATTTTCAAAGTTATTAATAAAATTGACAAACTTTTATTTAACTCTGTTTTCTAAAGAATAACATTACTGATGGGTGGGGGTCACACACCTTTAATCCCAGCATTTTGGAAGCAGAGGGAGGCAGATCTCTGAGTTCCAGGCAAGCCAGTCTACCGAACTAGTTCCAGGACAGCCAGAACTACAAAGAGAAACGTGGTTTCAAAAAACAAAACAAACAAACAAAAAGATTAACATTACTAATTCTAGAAGGGAAATTTGAGACCTTATTATTCATTCTTCAGAATATTAAGAACTCCATGAATATTCAATAGCTATATACAAACTATTGAGTTAAATGAAGCAGACAAATTCCAAAGAGCCCAGAACCGACTGAGATGCAAGCATGAAGAGACACAAAACTGATTCCATACCTGATTCATACCTGAATCAATAAAAAAAAAAACATTTGAAAACATGAGCAGTTTTTAATGCTGAAAAGGCCAAACTAGGGGTAGAGGATAGGCCAGTGCCGTAGGGGCACATGTGAAAAATCACTGCCAACTGTGTAGTTAGTGCAGACACTGAGGGATTCCCCTCTAAGACCAGGATCAATTATGGCCACTTCAGTATTCCCTTAGGAGTCCTAGACAGAACAATAAGGGAAGACAAAGAAATGAAATATGGCAATCAATTGGCTGAAAATATGTCTGCAGATAACATGAACTTATCTGTAGAAAATTCTAAAAGTTCTACAGAAATTTCTGAAACTGGTGAGAAAACACACCCACATGAACTGTATGTACTTCTCTGAATTAAAAGTGACCACAAACAATCGGGTATCTTGAATTGTCACATGCACAGAGACAGAAATAGATGGAGTCACACAGGACTTAGGCGGCGTGGTGGGTTTGGGAAAGCTTTCGATATGGACAATGGTGATGATCACACGACAATATGAATGTGCTTAATACCACTATACTATGTGCTTCACAATAGCTAAAGGGACTAATTATATACAGTCATAAAATATTACATATGTGTATATTACTAGGGTAAAGAATCATGCACAAGGTCATTGCATTGTAAATGCCACTCTCAGAACAAAACAGTTCAGTGTTTCTTTACATAAAGGATTTTGCATCCGTGCATCAAACTGTGGATCAAAACTACTTAGGAACCAGTTACGTCCACAGAGAAACATGAGCAGTCCCTTCTCCTCTCACTCTTCCTCACATCGAACGGATCACTGTTATCTAGGCAGCACTGGTGCTACTTCGAAGTATTGGAGCATATGAGAGAATAACCTGTGTGCGAACACTGCACCATTTAACAGGAGACTCAGAGCATCCAGAATTTGAGGCAGTTTCTGAACTTAACTCCCACTGATTCTGAAGGTTAGATATATGTTTGATTCACAACCTAAGATCTTAACCCCTTTGCAGTATTGATTGCCATATTGATGTCTTTATTTTTTGGAGACTGAGTCTCACTTTGAATCCTGGCCTGTCCTTGTGTATACGTTTATCCCAGGGTTTCAGGCATGAGTCACCATGCTGGCTGTACCTGAATGGTAAGTGACAATTTTTACCACATAACTTTTCTCCATTTTGTACACCACTGATGAAGAAATGTCCCCCATTCTGCTGTAGGATGAGAGGAGAGGTCACTTATTCGTCACCGTCAGCCTAACTGGAAGACTGATCTCCGAACTGAATGAGTTGGACACCTCACACTTATAGTATCCGGCATCTTCCCTTCTGACGGGATCTATGCTGAGTCCACACTTTGTTGGGGACAGAGTCATCCTCTCTGTGAGCTGCAGACTCTGGTTATTGAAGAGCCAACGGATGGAGATTCTAGTGTCAGTTGAGAGGCAGCTGAAAACCACAGAACTCTGTGCTGTGACAGTGCTGTCACTTACTTGCAGAAAAGGCTCTGTCACAGGTTCTGCAAAGAAACAGATGAGTGGACAAAATGAAAAAAAAAAAACAGTAGTCCTTCAGAAAGCTCAGCCAGCCCCTCCATAGTTCACAATTACTAAAGCCTCCAGGGTAGTTAAGTGAGAACTGTGACTATAGTCATATCTTGTACTATGCCAGCCATGGCCTGCGTGACCCTGATTCAGACACTGAGCTTGCTCTGCCTCAGTATCCCTATAATAGGATAAGAGTTAAAATGATCGTTGCCATGTCTACGAGTGAAGGTTAGATATGAGCAATGGATATAAACCTGACCTTGGGATAGGGGAGCTATCAGCATCTTTTATTCTTTGTCTGTAGTAGAAAATTCCCTAGGCTGGACCCCTGAGGACAAGGAGCTGCCAGGAGAATTGTTTCTTCTGTTGTTTCCCCCACCCCACTGCCATTTGGGGACCCTGACCTTCCTGTGACATCTCCTAAACCCTTCAGAACAGTTTGTTTATGTCCCAGCACCTGCCACTGAGATTCAGAAGGAGATGCCAGGTAACCTACCAATCAGCAGGTGTCATTGCAGTGCACAGTTGGTTCCACTCTATAGGACTTAGACAGTCAGTAAAACCTTTTCCCCTAACAGCCCTAACAGAAAGTCAAAACCAAGAAGTGTCAAAAAGCTTCCCAGTGTCGTCTAGAGTCCAGTCGGGGACAGAAATTTGCAGCCATGGCTTCCTAGTGCTCTCTGTGAGGATCCCACCGCCTCCTAAACCAGGGCCTGCCTGACTCCCAGAGTCCTGCTGGGGAAGTGTGCATAGTGAGAGCTCCACGTGTCTGTGCTTCAGCTGACATCCTAGGACTGAGTTTACCCAGTACAGGTCCTCTGCTTTGTCAGTAAATACAGGGGAGTGGTTCTGATCTACTGCAATTTGTCTATCCTGTGTGTGTCCTGAAGTAAGGACCCAAACCCCAGTGTGAAGACACAATGCAGTTGAGGAGAGAGCAGACACATCCCAGTCCAACAGTTCAGTATATTAAGTAGGATAAGATACACCCAGAAGCTGGAAGCCATAGAGAATTACTTACTGTTCACATGAAGATGCACATATATGGTTCCAACTCGTAAAGCTCTGTTTAAGGTAAGTATCGTATACAGTCCTGCATCTTTCTCAGTGATGCGCTGGAGCAGCAGAGATCCATTGGTGTGAAGCATCTCTCTTCTGCTGGAGACAGGCCCCCAGGTGATGGAATTCATAGCTCTGTCATAGATCACAATTCTAAAGGGCTGATGGGTATACAGTCCTTTGTACCAGGCAAAGCCTAGTAGATCTTCTGGCAGATTATGAAGAAGGAGAACAATGCTTTGCCCTTTAACAACATGCTGTGACCCTGTTTCTAAGGTGAGTTGGACAGAGCTGAGATTGTTGCAGCAAGTAGAAACGGAGGCTGGAAATAAGAAGAGAAGAAGGCATTCCATGTGCATGGTGGAAAGAAAACTACCTCTGTCCTGAGCAGATGGACTCACCACTCAGCCTAGAGATGTAGGTGTAGGCATGTATATCCCGCTTTGGGGAGAGTGGGGGTTCAGCAACACGACCTCCATTCACTTAGTACCCTGAAAGTATAGTTTTCTTTGTTTGGAACTCTCTCCTCAAGTGTCTACACAACTGCCCCTCCCTGCCCTCAGTCAGACTGCTCACACTCATGTACACTGAGTTTTGAGATGATGCCTCCCCTGACCTTTTCTCTACAAAACCTGGATCTTCACTTTCTTTTTTCCCTATTTTCTTTATGGCTGCATTCAACCTCTTACGTCACATTCTGTATGTCCTTGCTGCTCTGTCCTCCAGCCCCTGGGACTAGCGCTGAGTGAAGACAAGAGCACTATGGTCTTCTTTGCAGGCACAGGCATTGGGAAAGGCTCAGAAACTAGGTTGTCTAGCTTTTTGTCAATTTGACACTAGCAAGAGTCAGTTTCACATAGGAATCATCAAATAATGCCACAAAAAGACTGACCTGTTGGGAAACCTGTAGGACATTTTTTAATTGGTGGTGGAGATGGAAAGGTCCAACCCAATAAGAATATGTCCAGCCCTGGGCTAGAGGTTCTAGGAGCTATAATTAGAAGGCTGAGCAAGCCATGAAGAGTGAGCCAGTAAGCAGTACTCCTCTGTTCTCTCTCAGTCGATATCTGGGTTTTTATTTATGAGGCTCTCACATTCAGAGCTAATAAATGCCACAGTTCCACATGCATGGCCAAAAATATTGTTCCCTGTCAAAAGTGAGATACCAAACCGGGCAAACGCTTTCCAGGGTCACATGTAGTTGAGTAGCAGACGACTCGTATTCACCTCTCTGTGAGGTTGCCATGGTTTCCTCATATGCATGGCTAAGCCTCAGGAGACTGAGCTGACTGTGGCATCTTAAGCTGAGTTTCTTTCCATCAAGGACTTCCTTGATACAAAGGGAAGCATGAGATGGAGTCTGATACATGGTTGTCTGTCTCCACCATGTTTTTCCTGCACTAAATGTTCAAACCCCAACATGGGGACACAGTGCAGAGGGGAGGCAGGAACAGGCTAAGCACAGCAGTCCTGTGTGTCTTAAGTCTCATCCAGCACAGAATGATCACAGAGAATCACTTACCATTCACCTGTAGATACTCATGTATTAATTCTAGTTTCATATCTCTAGTCACAGTTTTTAGGGTGTAGAATCCAATATCATCCAGGGTGACATTGTGGAGCAGCAGAGATCCATTGCTGTACACTGTCTCTCTACCACTGTGTGCAGGGCCAGGGAAACTTGAATTCTTGTCTATGGTGTGTCTGGCAATCTCGTAGGTGGTGAATGGAATCACACCTTTGTACCAGAAAAAGTATTTAAGGTCCTCTGGGAGATCTTGAGCAAGTAGAAGAACATTTGCCCCTTCTGTAACGTTGGGTGGCACTATTTCAATAGTGGGTTGGTCAGAAGTGGTACGGCCCCCACAGGTTGAAATGGAGACTAGAAGGGAAGAGAAATATCCATCACTATTTGAACCTTTGTATTTAAGTAAAATGAGGCCCTTTGTCCTGAGCAGGTGTGTCCATAGTTCAGCCCAGGCTTGTGGGTGAGCATCTCCCTGTCCTACTGGGTGGAGGTCTGCACATAGCCTCTATTCACTCCAAGTTCCCTCATGTGTCATGTCCTCTGTATGGTACTCTCTCCTCAGTTATCAACATGGCCCAGGCTTGCTGCCCTCGTATCCCTGCTCACATCAGTGTAGGTGGGGGTTGGAATCTGATGCCTCCCTGACCTCTTCCCTACACACCCTGCATCTTAACTCACTGACTCTTTTTGTTGCTGTTTGCTCCTCTTGTGGTTTCGGTCAACACCTGACTTCTCCTTCGAGCTTTCTTTATCTGCTCTCTCTTCTAGTCAATGAGAAGTGAAGAACTGTGAGAGACAGGATTTGTCTTACCTTTTTTAAAGTAAATCTGCCTAGAAAAAAAAAACTAGATACCTGTGGAGAATGAATGAATGAATGAATGAATGCTATCCCAAAAGCCTGTATGCTTATGAATTTATTTAAGAAATTCATAGGTGTGGAAATACAGTGATGCATGCTTCCATATGCCCTGATTTTTTCCCTTTTACTTATTATATTTGTGTGTCAGTTTGTGTGCAAGGTCACATCTCAGGATGTAGAGGTGGATGCAAGGCACACTACCTACATGGAGGTCAAGCAGCAACTTGTGATCCTTGGTTCACAGGTCATCAGACAATGAGACAAATGCCTATATCCCCTGAGCCATGTCACTTATCAACACCAGTTTGGTTTTTTATTTAGGAAGTCATAACTGTCAACACCAATCCTCAGATTATTTTGGTCATAGTGATTAAGTTTGGGTACAAACAATCTCGCCTTCACTTCCCCTTATTTTTTCTTGTTCACCAAGAGCTTCCTGTTGCTGAGACTCTGGACTTCCCTGTGACTTCTTCCCTACAAATCCCAAGACTCCTTTCAGGTCCTTGTCCCACTTAGGAGACTCCAGACAGTAGACTTGTCAAATTGTGGTCTCCTCACCTGTGAGCAGGAGTCTCTGAGAGTCAGTGACCCCTTGCAGAGAGGACAGAGGATGTCTCCCTAGTCTCTGTGGCCTGATCTGTCATCCTTCTGTGGCAAGTCTGCTCCCAAGCTCTACTCTCCTTCCCTCATGTGAACTGAGCCTCCTCCCAGAATGGAGCATCTCCCAGAGTTCCATAGGCTGTTGGGTTCTCTATTCAAAACACTGCTCTGCCCCCTTACTCTCTGTACTAACCCATATTTTTTTTTAATTTTCTCTCTTTATGTTTCAGTCCTCCACACCACACAGTGATCAAAAGGGCTGATGAGCATCCCTGTTCCCTGAGAGTACAGCAGCTCACCCTAGGGCTGCCCTCTGTTGTGTCCTGGCCTTTGTTATCAGCATGAAAAATGGAGTCTCTGCACTCTCTGAGTGACACAGAAACACAGCTGGGCACCCAGTCAGCCCTATGTCCTCAATACTCTAGAAACATGGAACTTGCTCTCAGTGAGGTGTCAGAAATGTTTGCGAGAGCTTCAAAAGGACCAGCTGAGTGATGTGCAGGGAGGGGACAGATCCATTCTCACTGCAGTCACCAGCCAGGGATCTGACCTGGGACAAAGACCAAGAACCAGGTGTGTCAGCAGTCTCCCACCCTAAGTGTGTGGGAAGAGGTGGCCTGAGTCACTCTAAAGAGGGCTCTGGGCTCCATCACCTCATGGGCAATTTCATGACGATGCTCACACTTCCTCTTTATGCTGAGCTGTGTGATGGGTCTGCCCATGTACTCCCTGGCATTTATAAATGCCTTGGACCTCTCTCTAGGTGATTCCCCTTGGCTAGGCTATATTTCCCAAAGGAAATACATCAAAGAGGGGAATGTACATTATCTCCTGGGAGTGTAGCAGATTCAGGAATCAGCCAGTAGTTTGGAAAAGGCTGTTTCAGTGACTTTGAGGCATGTAGGGACATGGGTGGGAACCAGATAACAAGATAAGTTCTTGGTTCAGGTAAATACTTTTGAGTGTTGACTGTGTGTTCTGAAGCTCTCCCTGGTGATCACTGGGGAAGCCACAGCTCACAGCTGGGGAGCTGTGCATTGCAGCAGAGCCTGTAGCCATTTGCCTGCAGGAGAGAATTCTCTGAACTCGACCAGAGAGAACAATAGCTTGCCAGGATGACCTGTGTCCTCAGTCCCTCTCCTTAGTGACCCTGACCTTCCTGTGAAGTCTCATAAGCCCATCAGGAGAGTTCATTAATGACCTGGGCACCTGTCCAGCTGTGCTCTCCATGCTGAGTCTCTGGAGGAGATGTCCGGGGGACCTAGTCTAACTATGGCTCTCATGACAGTGCACTGGCTGGTTCCAGACAGCACAAGACTTTGAGTACTAGAAAGCACTGTTCCCGACCATAAGGAAGTCAAAATCCAACCTTTCTAAAATGCTTCTCATGGATACCTGGAGTTGAGTCTGGAACAGGGCTCTGGAGCTAGAGTATCCTGATGCTCACATCTCTCTGTAGATCCCATGTTTTCCTCAGCCAGGCCCAAGATTGATTCCCTCAAGATCTTTCTCGGGGACACCTTCCAGTGAGAACCCCAAGAGTCTAGACAAAGGCTGAGATCCCAGACTGAGTTACACAGCATGCATCCACCATCTGCAAGGTGAGGTTAAATGAAGGGCTCTGATCTACTACAGTTATTTTCCACCATGTATGTCCTGCACTAAATTCTCAAACCCTGACATGGGGATGCAATGCAGAGGGGAGGTAGGCACAGGCCAGACCTGATGATTCTGTGTGTCCAGTGGAATGAACTCCACACGGCACCCAGAGTTCACAAAGGACCACTTACTCTGCACATGGAGGAACACGGATGTTGTTGATACAATTTCTTTTTGTCTATTTAAGACTCGTAGGGTGTAGAATCCTGTGTCCTTGAGGATGACACGCTGGAGCAGCAGTGATCCGTCACTGTACATTATCTGTCTACCACTGTACGCAGGCCCCGTTGCATTTAAACCCATTCTTACAGCATAGACTGCAATTCCGCGTTTCATGTGTGTCACCCCTCTGTACCAAGCAAAGGCTAGAAAGTCCTCTGGCAGATTGTGGACCTCTAGACGGACATTTTCTCCTTGGAACACGTTGGGTGGCACTAATTCAATGGTGACTTGGGCAGTGATGGGTAGATACCAGTAAGTTAAAAGGGAAGCTAGAAGGGAAGAGAGAAAAAGCATCAATACTGAGCAGATGTGATCGTGATTCAGCTTAAGTGTGTGGGTAGGGCTGTGACCACGCTTCTTGATGGAGGTGAGCAACATGGTCTCCATTCCCTCAGCCTCTGACGGTGTCTTTTTCTCTCTAGGGAACCATCTTCTCACTCATATGTCTGCACCCCACCCACAGTGTCCCCATATCTCTCCTCACATAAAGAGTATTTGGTGTGAAGGAGTCACTGCAACTTCCTCCCCCTCTAGAGGGTCCTCACTTTCTGATTTTTCTCTGTTCCCTTTGTGTTATCAGTCAACCCCTGACATTGGTTTCTAGATACACTGACTTCCAGTCCACTAGAACCAGGGCTTTGTGAGGACAAGGATTATTAGTGTGACCTTCTGGAAGATTCAGTTCCTGATGGAGAGAGGAAAAACAGAAAGAATGAAGGAATAAAGAAAGGAAAGTGCCTCTGTGGATTTATCTACATAGACCCCGGGTTTGGAGCAAATGATAATAATTATACTCAAGTAAGATTTAATTTTTTAAATGTGGGGGGAGGTTTTGAGACAGGATTTCTCTGTGTCATGGCTGTCCTGGAACTCACTTTGTAGACGAGGTTAGCCTTAAACTCACATAGGTCTTCCTGCCCCCTAAGGCGTGCACCACCACATCCCAGCAAGATTTAATTTTTTTAGCCTGGTGGTGGTGGCTCACGCCTTTAATCCCAGCACTTGGGAGGCAGAGGCAGGTGGATCTCTGTGAGTTAGAGGCCAGCCTGGTCTACAGAGCTAGTTCCAGGACAGGCTCCAAAATTACAAAGAAACCTTGTCTTGAAAAACAAAACAAAAAAGATTTAATTGTTTTTACTTATATACTATATGTTTATTTATTTACCATATGTGTGTATTTCTGAAGGCACATGTTTCAGTGTGCACATGTGCAGGGCTGTGCCACAGCACACATGTGGAGGGCATTAAAGAGCCTGAAAAAGTTTGTTCTCTTCATCTACCCTGTGGGAACTGAGGACTGGATTCAGGTTGTCATGTCTCCACACACTGAGCCATCTCACTGGCCCATCCCTGTTTGATTTCTATTTGGAGGGTCACCCTGTCATTGTTGGGGACATCAGACTTCGGAACATTGCAGACAATGTAAGTGAATGTGAATATGGAGTGTTGGAGGCTTGTCTCTTGCCATCATCACTTCCCATCCTCTCAGAGCTTCGGGCTGCTGAGCCTCTGTCTCTTACTGTACCTTCTGCCCCATGGCTGCAAACAGAAACCCCAAGTCTCCTCTCAGCATCCTGTCCCCCTTAGGAGACTCCAAGCAGCTATTGAGTTTCCTTCAACCCACAGTCAGAGAGTGGGTCCACTTACCTGTGAGCAGGAGCCCCTGCCAAGGAGTGTAGCCCTTGCGGAGGATCATAGAGGACACCTCCATCTCTCTTCCCACTGTGCAGTCCTCCTTCTGAGGAGAAAAGTTTCAGCTTCAGCAAAGCCCTCGGTCTCTGCTGTCCTTCCTCCCTCTGAGCTGAGTGTCTTCCCAGACAGGAGCACTTCAGAGAATCCAGTGGGCTGTGGGTGGTGGTATTTATATGCAAGGCACTCCCAGTGCTTCTGGCATCCATCTCAACTTCCCTTTATGTTTCTCCTCCAAGCAACACAGGAACAACTAGACTGATAAGCATCCCCATGCCCTCAGAGAACAACAGCTCATCCCAGGGTCACAGTGTAGCTCTGAAAGAAGTCAAGGCAGCAAATGTGTTGCTTGATGGTTCATTTGCTGGCTCTATCTTACACTTAGCAAGGTGTCTATACAATCAAAGGCCATCTGCCTAGGGATGGTGCTGCCTACAGTGACCTGGGCCCTCCTGCATCAATTAAGACAAACGCTCATAGATATGCCCACAGACAAACTTGATAAAGACAGTTACGCAGTTAAGATTCTTTTTCCCCCAAGTGACTTTGAGATGTGTCAAGCTGAGAGTCAATGCTAACTAGAACATTGTTTCGAACTACTAAGTCCTCCTCCTCCACAGAAAGACTCTACAGGAAGCTACCCATTCTCCAACTGAGAGTCTGTTACTGTTTTCCAGGGTCATCACAAGACCCTCAAAACTGGACCTGCCCTGGGTTCACTTTTCACATGTCCAGGACCTGAGCCCAGGGAAATTTCTGATATGCAGAGACATTGTGAAGTCTCAATAAAACAGCATCATTAAACATTAGTTTCTGGACTGTGGGCAGCTGGGTACAAGAACATGAGTAATTAAGTTGAAGAAAGATGAAGGGGAGAGTACAGAAATATATTACTGTAAATGAGGGGTGGCATTTAGAGTCAGGTAGAAACCCAGCACATGGGACTCTCCCAAAAATCTACAATGATGACCCTAGCTAGTACTATAGCAATAGTGGACATATAGCCTGAACTGGCCATCTCCTGTGACCAGGCAAGACTTCAAGTGGAGGGATTGGGACACTGACCCACCCACATAACCTTCAATTTACAGTGTGTCCCACCTATGGGATGTGACCTGGAGATTGAGGAAGTGGCCAACCAATGACTGGTCTAGCCTAAGCCCCATGCCAGGAGAGTAAACTCACCCATGACACTGCCTGGAGCACCAGGAATCAAAGGCTGAATGACTCACAGACCTAGGATAGAACCAAAGATGCCTAAAGAAAAAAAATTTTGATGTGCTATTCTACTATATTCTACTATACTCATAGATTGATGTGTAGTCCAATTGTCATCATAGAGGCTTCGTCTAACAACTGATGGAAACAGATGTAGACCCACATCTATATATTAGGCAGAGCCCAAAGGATCTTGTAGAAAAAGGGGGAGAAAGGATCATAGGAGCCAGAGGGTTCAAAGACACCACAAGAATAGCCACATAATCAACTAACCTAGACTCATAGGGGCTCACAGAGATTGAACTGACAACCAGGGAGCCTGCATGAGTCTGACCTAGGCACTATGCATATGTTACAGTTGTGTAACGTGGTCTTCTTGTGAGACTCCTAACAGTGTGAGCAGGGCCTGTCTCTGACTCTTTTGCTGGCTTTTGCAACCCTATTCCTCATACTGGGTTGCTTTGCCCAACCTTAATACATGAGGAGGTGTTTAGTCTTACTGCAACTTGATATGCCATGCTTTGTTGATATCCACAGGAGATCTGTCATTTCCTGAATAGAAATAGAGGAGATGTGGATTGGGGTGAGGATGGTGGAGGAGGTACTAGAAAGAGAGGACGGAGGGGACACTACAGCCAACACAATAGGAAAATCAATCTATCATTCATCAATCAATATGTATGGGTTTCTTTCTGACTCAGAACAGGCCTCCCAGGCAAGTCCACCATCTGCCTCTTCTGGCTCCATTGGAAACAGAACAGAAGCTAGTCACCAGTTGAGACTAGACAGGAGCTGAGAGCATTTGGGATAAAGGAACATGAGCATGATTCAAAGATCTGGATAACCCTTCTGGCTCATGGAGATCATAAAAGCAAATGGAAGAGACAGAAAGGCATGAGCCAATGACAGAAAGAAAAATCTACTTGACCTTCAGTACAGACCTTCACCTTGGGAAGCACTTACAACCTAGGAGTATCTCACTTCAAGACCAATCCAGGGTCACCCAAAAGAAATCAGAGATGCAAGAAGAAAAGATGAAGAAAGAATCTCACAAGAAATTGAGATTTTTTTGTGCCCATGGACGTTGGCTAGAAATTAGATCCTGTGTCTATTCCTAAAACCAAGGTCTCACCCCAAAACTCAGTGATAACATTTCAGAGATCCATTTGCCTGTAGTCCCACTGAGACCAATGGCAGAGTTATGGACATGGGGGATGATGTTGGGGATAAGGAGTTCTTGGGAGGATGACAGTGGCTTCCCATTGATGAGCCAAAAGTCCTGTAAAAGTGAGTGAGAGGCTGCATGGAAGAAGAGGTTTTACCCTGTATAGAGGCTTTACCCTGTATAGAAATGAATAGTGTGGAGGGGGATCAGAGCAGGACATCTGGAATAACTGTAGCAAACAGTATAGAGTCATATGTGATGTCAGCATATGGAAAGAGAAATCCTGGTCTGTAGAAGGCCATAGTATCTCTTTGAAGTGTGCAATAACTCTAACTTTCTCCATAAAAGACCATTGTTACTACTACCCAGGATATAAGGTCAATCCCTGCAGAGATTATTATTTTTTTATTTTTTTTTTTTACTCTTTCACAACGGAGATTTTATTGGTTGAGGCGTAAAGTACACAGACATTTCAATTCTTAAAACATGTACCCAAACTCTGAGGAGTCATACATTGTGTCCACGTACCCAAAAGAGCCATGTGTTGTTTCTCTTTGAACTTATTCCAATTGATGTTCCATCCCCAAACTTGGCAAGTCTTCCCCAAGACCTCACATAACAATCAAATGCTCACAATCCTCAACTCCACTGACTCACCATTGTATGTCACGCACAGGACAGACTCTAAAGTTCAATGTTTCCCAGCACATTGTTACACTTGTTAGGAAAACGGACTGCCGTGGGCAGACAGTCCTGACAAGCAAAGACCGAGGAGTGGGATTTTAGCCAACAGTTCTACAAAACACGACACGGGATATAACGGAAAATATTCCAGACACAAATGCACGACCGACACTCCAAATTACCACTTAGTATATGCTTTGTGTTGTAGGATATAAAACTAGCCCCCTCTACGGAATGTTATGGTGACCGCCGAGACAGTCACAGCCTCTCCTGATTCAGTATCCTGCTATTTTCTGGTTGTACCAAAAAATAAACAACCAGCAAGTGATTTAACCTCTTAAAAAAATCATTTACACTTAAAAAATGGGATGAGGCAGGATTTCTCCCCACCTTTTAAAAATGTTTCTAGAGCTACTAAAAAACTCGCATTTACAAAATAGTTGATAAAAATATTCCTCTGGATTGTACAAGAAGGGAGGCGGGGACACTGACAGACATGATGGATGGTTAGTCGGATGGATGGCTTCTTTCTCTTCTTCAGAGGCTGGACTCTGGTTTTCCGTCTCTCCATTCTCTGCGGGCAGATCCGTGGTTTGCTGGTCGGCCACTTCAGCTTGTTTGCCCTTTGCTCCCCGCTTCCCTTTCGCTTGCACTTTTTTTTTAATTTTTTTTTTTATTGAAAAAAAAATTTCTGCCTCCTCCCAGCCTCCCATTTCCCTCCCCCTCCTCCCACTCCTCTCCCCCTCCCCCCACTCCTCTCCCCCTCCCTCTCCAGTCCAAAGAGCAGTCAGGGTTCCCTGCCCTGTGAAAAGTCCAAGGTCCTCCCCCCTCCATCCTGGTCTAGGAAGGTGAACATCCAAACTGGCTAGGCTCCCACAAAGCCCGAACATGAAGTAGGATCAAAACCCAGTGCCATTGTCCTTGGCTTCTCAGCAGCCCTCATTGTCCGCCACTTTTTTATCCGATGACTTATCCTTTCCCGCGGTCTTTTTCGGCTTCCCGTCCACCTTGGCAGGGGCAGGCTTGGCCGACAGCCTCGCAGAGCAAGCGGTGCTTGGGCTCCGCCTTCACCACTCCAACTGCGCTAACCTTCCTCTTGTGGCGGCGCTGGATGGGAGGCACGTGAGAGGCCGAACCTGTCACGGAGCCGCCGCAGCACGGACTCCAGAGATTATTTCTCTATGTAGTTCGATGAAGTCTGATGAGAGACAGATGCTACAGCTGTGTGAAATCGGTGAGTCTCTGAGCAGAGAGAGTGCTGTGTTAGAGGCAGGATCTATTGGAAGGGACAAAGCAAAGCCCTGTCCTTCACCTTCCAGAAGTGACAGAGGCACACCAGGAAACACATGATTTCCTGTCCAATACATGGGCTTCAGAGTCCTAGAATTTTGCAGAAATTGTCCAGAGGCGGATGGCTTAGTTCTAGAGTCAAACCTAACTGTCCATTGGTTTTCATGTCCTAGATAATATGTCCCATTGAGCTGAAGATGACCAAGACTAACATTTGTGAAGAACAGTTCCTCCCCAATCCACAGACACCTGAGAAGGCCTCCAAGAGGGAAACACCAGACACCTGGCTGCAGACAGATAGATTGTCACATCTACCACCCACGGCCACTATGTTTTTATGTCTCAGTTTCTCAGGGTAACACACATCACAAATGGATGTTGCAATATCTATAATGTTGCTTTAACTATGATCAAGGCCCTGACACTGGGACAGGACAGCTGTCCAGATCAGCAGCTTCTGTTACTATTTACCTGCAGGAGACAATTTGCTACACTTAATCCCTCAGGACATGGAGTCATTGGGACCACCTGTGTCTTCTGTTCCTCCCCTTGGGGACTCTGACATTCCTGTAAAGTCTCATAAGCCCGTCAAAACAGTTGGTTAAGGGCCTAGACACCTGCACAGCTGTGTTCTCCATGCTGAGACTCAGAAGGACATGCCCAGGTGACCTAGCCTAATTGTGGCTCTCTTGGTAGTGCACTTGCTGGTTCCATGAGCTAGGAGATTCAGGCAGCTGATCAATCATTCTTCCCTATTTGGGTCTAGCCGGTGAGATTCTAACCTTTCCCACACTCCCCAGCTCACCTAGAGTCAGGATTCTAGGACAATGATCTGGAACCAGGACTTCCAATGGTTCCCCCGCTCTAATATGGTTCCGTATTTCCCATAGCCAAACCCTTCCTGAGTCCCAAGTTCTTTCTGTTGAGACCCAAACCATCAGGACTTGTTCTGATCCTGTGACTGTGTTACTCCACCGCACATCCTGCTTTCGGCAGGGTGAATTCACACCAAAGCTTCTGATATTGCCATTTGTCCAGACTGGGTGTGCCCTGCACTAAATACCCAAACCCCAATAAGACCAAAAATTACTGAGAGGTATTAAGTACAGTCCAGAGCTGACATTCCTATGTGTGTAAAGTTGACACAATCTCACCTGCTACCAGGAGGGCACGAAGAACCACAGACTGTTTATATGGTGACACACATGTGTTCCTTCAGTTTCAACCTCAGTATTTCAGGTTTGTAGGGTGAAAAGCCCTGTGTCCCTGTGGGTGGCATTCCCGAGCAGCAGAGACCCGTTAGTACACATTGTCACTCTGCCAGTGTGTGCGGGCCCCAGCACTCTAAGATAGGTAGCTATTGCACAGTGAAAGGTCTCAGCATTCTCTGGTAGATTAAGAACAGATAGATGGTTTCCCTTCTGCTGCATTGTGGAACTGTGATTCTATAGTGAGCGGAGAAGTACAAGGATGGCGCTAAAATGTTAAAAGAGAGACTAGCAACTGGAGAGAAGGCTTATTGGGTAAGAGCACTGGCTGCTCCTTCAGAGGACTTGGGTTCAATTCCCAGCACCCACATGGCTGCTCACCACTGCCTGTAACTACATTTCTGGGAGATTCGGCACCCTCTTCAGAGCTCTGCAGGTTCCGCACTCTGACAGGTAGTACTCAGACACACATGCAGACAAAACACCCGTAAATATAGATAGATATTTTAAAAAGCTTTTTTAAAAATTAGGTAAAAGTGAGGCTAGAAGGGAAGAAAGAGGCATCATGTTCCCTTTGCATATGGTGGAAAGCTGTGCCCTGTGCTCTCAGCAGCTGTGTCCATCCTCAGTCTCCATATGTGATGGACTGGATTCCAGTCCACCCCTGACCTCACCTTCGGGATGCCAGTCTGCCTTCCAGTCCATGGCAACTTGAGCTTTGAGGGGACAGAATTTAGCTTCTTTCTGGGAAGGTCAAGGTACTGGAAAGGCTCAGACACCTGTGGATGGATGGATGGATGGATGGATGGATGAATGAATGAATGAATGAATATACCAGGGCATGGCCTTTTGAGGAAGTCTCATGATGGACTATTACCACAGTCTTTTTATGTATGTGAGAGTGAGAACAAACATCTATGTGTGTTTACACATGTGTACATCAATGGATGAGGGAAAGATACTTCACGTATACGGAAGTTAAAGGAGATGAGGAAGTTGGCTCTCTCCCTCCACCATAGGCTCTAGGAATTGACTCAGCAACACTACCTTGACACAACTGCCTTTACCCACTGAGTCATCTCAGTGGCCACCCAGGTCTAAATTTTATTTTGACAGTCACCTTGCCATAGTTGAGAACAAGAGTATTCAGAATATAATGGCCAAAGGTGATAACTCAGAGTAGGCTTTCCCCTCTCCTTCCACGTCCTGTTCACTCAGAACTTCCTGCTGATGAGCCTCTGTCTCCCTCTGCCCCACCTACACCAACACAAGTGCATAACCTGGGTCCCCTCTCAAGCTCTTATCTTAGAAGACTCCAGCCATTCTCTACGTTCACCCCCACTGCCAAGTCATGGTCTCGGCATCTTTATGTTAGGACACAGGTCTGCACAGGCCAGATTCGCACAGCCTTAGTCAGGCCACATCTCCTGCAGCTCCTCTAGGACAGAGAGTAGGAGCTGTCTGTGCTGTGACCTGACAACTCTCAGTTTACAACACCTGGTTCCTCCGTATTCCTTGTCACATTCACTACACTGAACAAAATGCAGTGAGAAACTCCACCTGCCCCTGTGAGGTTATAAAGGATCAGACCTTTCCTCTGCTCCGAGATGTGGGAGAAGACTGCTCAATGGTGTTGCCCAGAAATGGAGACTGCCCTCAGAAGAGGCTTCTTGGCCTCCCTCCATGACCAGCCTCATGGAAGCTGTTTCTTCTTCTCTCGCTCCTCCCACCTCTCTCCCTCTCTCTTATTTCTTCTCTTTTTCAAATGTTTTTTCAAGTGTTTTTGTCTTTTTATTTATTCTTTGTTCTTTGTGTCTTTCACATAATGCATCTTGATCCCATTTGCCTCCCTGCCCCTTCTAATCCAGTCTCTACCCTTGCAACCTCCCTCCTAACATGAAATAAAATTTAAGAGGAAAAAAAGGGGGGGTGATAAAAGAAAAGGAAAAGAAATAAAGAAAAATCTCATCCTGGAAGCTGTAGTGTAACACAGTGAGTCACTCACTATATCCCTTTATCCATACATCTTTACTTGCAAGTGTTCGTTGCAAAGAGTCATTGGTCAGGTTCAAGGCCTCTGGTTTCTGCTATGCCATCATTACTGGGCCCTCACCGGAGTTCCTCTTGGCTTTCCTGCTGTGGCCCTGTGTCATGGGAATCCTGTAGCTTTGGGTCTGCAGGATGTACCCCTCCACATGCTCCAGCAGATCATAGATGGGGTAGATGCTAGGGTGGGCCAACATCCTGGTTCTAGACCCAGGTAGTTGCAGGGTTCGTCAACAGGCCAGTTATCCTGAAACCTGTACCATCAAAGTCAGCTCTACTGTATTGCCCAGGTGAGGTCCAAGGGCCACACTCCCTACTGATGCAGCTGGTAAGGGGCAAGGGATAGGTCTTCTGCTCTCATGACCTCAGGCCAGTTCTCCCACCCACCATAGGCCGGAAGGAGGGAAACAATTCTCCTTTGCCCCAGACACCACATAACAAATGAGGGGTGGGGCCAGTCTCCCATGCTCACATTCTCCAGGCAGCTCACCCACACTCCCATCAACAGGGCTTACTGTGCTGCCCAGACAGGGTGCAGAGCTTGATTCCCCGAGTGCTGCAGCTGGTAAAGGGGAGGGTCAACTCCCTTGTCTGCTACAGTTGGCAGAAGTGAGGGGTTAGGGCGTCATTCCCTCGCCCTCACCACCACACTGCGGGTGAGAAAGGCAATTTCTACTATCTCACTCTCATGCCCTCAGGGATGACTCACCCGAATTCCTGTTTACAGGGTCAGATCTGTTAGAAGTATTTTTTAAGAGTTTTCTACATGCTTATTTTATTTGCATCATCTTACCCACCCCCCACTTCTACCTCTGGCCCCATGCCTTCCATTCCCTCTCATCTTCATGACCTCTCCTTTTGAAATTTTATTCTTTGTGGATTTCACATCATGCATTCTGGATCACTTATCTCCCTGCCTCCTCACATGCACTCATGGCCCTTGTGAGCATCCCCCAAAACAAAACTAAATTTAAAAGAAAGCTCAAAAACAAATAAAACAAGAACAAAAAATAATCTTGTTGTGGAAACTGCAGTGTGACCCATTGAGTCACACAGTTTGCCCTTAATTCCATTCATCTTTACTTGCAAGTGCTCATTGCCTTGGGTCATTGGTCTGTCTTAAGGCCTCTAGTTTCTGCTACACTACTGATAGTGGACTCTCACTGAGGCTCTTCTTGGATTGCCTGTTGTTGTCCTATGTCATGGAGATACTGCTGCTTTGGATCTGTAGGTTTGTCCCCTTCACATGTTCCAAGCTCATAGATTCAGTGGATGCTGGGGTAGGCCAACTCATAGCCCTGGTTCTGGGCCTAGGTGGTAGCTGGGTTTGTCAGCTCACTAGCTTTCCCTCCTCGTCACTACACAGGAAAGCTTTCCAGCACTGCCTCAGCTAGCCCACCCAATGCAGCCTATAGCAATGAGTGGGGCCTATTCCCCTGCTGTCAGGCCCTTGGATCAGGGGCCCCCCTCACTCACATCATCAGGGTCAACTCTATTGTTTTTCCCAGGCAGAGTAAAGGGCCCTCTCTTCTGATTCCTATAGGGAACATATGGGGTTTGGTGGTGTAGCACAGAAGTTTCTGTTCCACCCAGTCCCATAGCCATTCAGTCCCAAAGAAACACACAGAGGCTTATATTAATTATAAACTGTTTGGCCTTTTAGCTCAGGCTTATTATTAACTAGCTCTTAAAATTTAAATTAAGCCATAATTCTTGTCTTTGTTTAGCCACATGGCTTGATAGCTTTTCTCAGTAAGGCATTCTCATCTTGTTTCCTCTGTGTCTGGCTGGTAACTGTGTCTTTGTCTTCCCTCTTCCCAGAATTGTCCTAGCCTGGTAGCCCTGCCTATATTTCCTGCCTGGCTACTGGCCAATCAGCATTTCATTAAACTAGTAACAAATCTTTACAATGTACAAGAGTATTATCCCACAGCACGATGGGGTCAGCTCTCCTGTCTTCAGGAACTCGGGCCTGGCTTGCCTGTGTTCCTGACAACAGGGTCAGCTCTAAGGTACTTCCCAGGTGGAGTGGAGGACCCACTCTCCTGTGTGCTGCAGCTGATGTGGGACATGGCGAAGTGTCTCAGTCTCATACACTGGGGCCAGCTCTCTCAGTTGCCGCAGGTAGAAAGGGGCTGAGGGGGAAGGGCATCTTTTTTTCACCCATGCCATCACATGGCAGAAGAGAGGAGTTCAGCTCTCCTGCTCTCATGTTCTCAGAGTCAGGTCACCTGGATCCCCAACCACAGGGTCAGCTCTCCTATACTTTCCAGGTGAGGTGCATGCCTATCATAAGGGTTGAGGCCATTTCTCCCAAGTGCAGAGGTGAGCTCTCCCTGATAGGTAGAGCCAACTCTCCTGCTACAGTATCCAGAAAGAGGCAGGGTCAACCATCTCAAGGCCAGTGAAGGGCAGAGCTGGCTCAATAAAGCATGGTTCCAACACAGGCCACCCAGATCACCATGGCCCCTGCAGCAACATGGCCTCCAGGTATCAACATGCTCCCAGGTGGCCGTCTAGACTCTGAGCATCCACAAAGCCCTCAGTGGCAACTGTAGCCACAGACACAAGCTCATTCCTAACCTCTGCAGGGCCATGGACCCTGAATAACATGGCCCCTGCAACAGCATGGCCCTTGTTTATCAATATGACCCCAGGTGGTGGGCCAAACTCCTAGCATCAGCATGGGCTTTGATGGTCTAAGAAGCCATAGACATCAACACAGACCCAGGCTGCAGTAGGGCCATAGACCCAGACATGGCCCTCTGCAGAAGCCCTGGTTCAGATGATACCATGGCCCAGTTGAGAGCCCTGGCCACCCAAATCAGCCTGGCCCTGCCAGCAGCACAACCTTTGGACACTAACATGATCTTAGGTTGCAGCCAAGACCATGGGTATGGCAGCAATATGAGCCAGGGACATCAACACAGACCCCAACACTGTAGGACCATGGACTCACACATGGTCTTTAGCAATAACCCGGGCCATGTTGTCATGACTTCTTCTTTAATTTTTATTATTACATATATATTTATAATAAATAGGTAAATATCATCAATTGGGCCCATTTAGTGTTACTCATCTCTGTATGTGTTTACATCTGACCACTTGCGGTTGGTGACCTACAGGAGGACTCATCCTTGGAGAATACTGGTTCTCCCTACTCAGTACTCAATAATTGCCTGTAGCTCTTGATTTAGGGTTGGAACCTCATGAGATTTCTCCATCCATGCCACCATATCAATAGGTGCTGTCATTTTCAGGTCTGTTTAGGTGGCCATATAGTTAATATTTCTCGGGTGCAGCTATCCTGTCATATTTAGAAAACACAATCTCATGTAAGATGCCATGGTTCTCTGGCTCTTAAATTCTTCTACATATTCTTCTGTGATGTTCCCTGGGCCTCAAACAAGGGAGTTGCATTATATAGATAGATCAACTCATGAAACCCATGGTGTTTCATTGATCTTGCCATTTGGACAAGTTTTTGGGTTTCTTTGGTAGTTTCCATAAGTGCAAAAAACAAACTTCTTTGATGATGGTGAGAACAACACTTGTTTGTGGCTTTATCTACCACAGGGTGGGTTATATTCTGAGTCTCAGGTTCAGGTATTAATGTTACCATGTTCTTGCCCTGCACTAGGCTGAAACTGAGGCTTGAGTGCTGTGCAGACAACAGAGAGAAACTTGCCCTGTGTGGGACCTCTGACCCTTGCAAGGGCCTGTGTCCATGAGTGTTGGTCACTAACCTCCCTGCCAACCAGAACCTGAAGAATATACATGGGAAGGTTGACCACAGTCATATGCAAGAAGATCTGAGGGTTCGGAGATAGCGGGGATGTATTACAGACTTTTTGATGTGTGAACTGAGCTACAGAACTTGATGGTAGACAGACCAAAGGTCTCTTTGTAGGATGAAGTGCTGCATCTCTCCAGGTACACTGATCTCCTATCCTCAACATGAGCTAAAACCCTCCAAGGCTTTTCTGTCTAAGGCTGTCCTACAGGTAGTTGGTGATGAGAGTTCCGTTGCACTTCTCTGGGAAGCCTTACAACCTGTCCTAAGGACTTGATGTGTGAACAGACACTTCAGTCAGGATACCAGGAACAGACCTCCTTTCACCTCAGTGGTCCACAACTAAGCCATGCTGCTTGGATGTTTCATGATGACTGACATGAGCCACTAGTCCCCTAAGGATGAAGAATGACTCTAAGAATTATCTAGAAATGTGAAGGGTCAGGACAAGGTTTCCAGCAGAACTTCCTCTAACCATGGGAATTAATACCCCTTCTCTTAGACCATGTAGACATCTGTCTTGAAGTTCATGTGAATACTGATCTGACTTATAGAAACTAGAAGAAAAACTTGCTAAAAATAACCTGATGAACCAGGTTGTACAACAGGTGTGTTGGTTAGTTTGTGTCACCTGACACAAGTTAGAAATACCTGAAGAACATCTACAAATTTCTTCCATTAGCTTGTTCTGAGGGTACATATATACAGCACTAACTTAGTTATTGATTGAAGTGTGAAGGTACAGTCCACTGTGGGTGGTAACCCTTAGCCAACTTAGTACCCAGTGGGAACTATAATGGTGTATTACTTGTATTTTGATAAATAAATTTTGCCTCAAGGCCAGAGGCAAAGCTAAGGCCACTAGAGGTCAGGCAATGGTGACACATACCTTCAATCCCAGGATTTGGGAGACAGAGTCAGATGGATTTCTGTGAATTCAAGGCCATCCTGGGCTACACAAGATCAATGCAGAAACAAATCCAGGTGATGGTGGCTTACACCTTTAATTCCAGTGTTTGGGAGCCACACGCCTTTAATCCCAGCACTAGAGGGACTATAAAATTGGAGGCGAGAGAGGCTTAGTCTGGTTAGTTTGCAGTTGACCACCTTTGGTAGAAGTAAGGCTTCTCTAGTGACTTGGTTATCTTGCTTTTCCGGTTTTCAGGTTAAACCCCAATTTTTTGTCTCTGAGTTTTTATTATTAATGCTACATTTGATGCCTTACATTTGAGGTAAAAATTCACAAAAAAAAAAACTATTTGCCTGAGGCATTTTAGCCACCAACAAAGGCTAGGGCTGCACATGAGGCTTTCGCCAGAGCTGTACCAGCTCCACCCAACTCTACTTTCTTTTCTTCTCCCCCACCCAGCACCATTCTTGGACTGCTGCCAAACTAAATAACTGCCTT